TGGGGTGGGGAAATGGACGGGGCCAGGGCCCCGTGGAGGGTCCTCTTTTTTTATTTGTTAAATATGGTAACCCTATGTGAACCGTCTCCCCCAGGGCCCAGCTGAGAGATGTGGCCGGCCCAGCCCTCCTCGGAGACACGAACCATCTCCCCCAAGGGCCTAGTCAAGAGATGTGGTCAGCCCCCCTCAGAGATACGAACCATCTCCCCAAACCCGGCCGAGGGACGTGGCCCAGCCCAGCCCCCTTAGAGACATGTACCATCTCCCCCAAGCCCGGCCGAAGGATGTGGCCGGGCCCCCCTCGGAAACATGAACCATCTCCCCAGGGCCTGGCCAAGCCCACCCCAGGAGCTGCCTGGGGCAGCCCCACTCCGGAGCCAGTGGGGCAGGGGGGTTCTGGGGTCAGAAGGCTCCATGGCAGTTGGGCTCCAACTGTCACCCCATAGAACGCTGGGCCCTGTAAGCCCCGCCCCCTTGGTGCAGGAGGAATCTAATTGGTGGCGAGGCCAACGCAGGATCCTGCTCCTCCAATAGGGCCTCAAGGAGGGAAGGCTCTACACTGAGGGCAATTTTAAATGGGGTTTCTCCTGAGGAGAAACGGGGACCCCCCAGAAGGATGGGAGAGCAGACAGGGTCCCCCTGCTCAGAGGGGTGGGAGAATGGACAGGGAGACCCCCCACCCAGAGGGGCGAGAGAGCGGACAGGGCCCCGTTGCCCACACACACTTGCAGCACCGCCAACCCCAAAGGTTAAAAAATCACAAGCCAGACCCAAAAATCATGAGACATTTTAAGGATGAAGTGGTTGTTTTGTTCGGACTCATGACTCCCCCTTCCCCAGTGTGTGGGTGGCAAGTAGTGTCACCAGCGCTCCCAAGTGTATAGAGTGAGGCTTTCCTCTCCCAGCGGCTTGATCCCAAACAGTTGTTACACCCATGTACTTGTTATTCAAGGAAGCTCACTCTTGCAGAACTAGACTGGAACTCCTGGCGACACAAACCACCTTTGCAGAATGGCAGCAGTACCTGGAAGGAGCTCGCGACCCAGTCCAGGTATTCGCTGATCATAAAAATCTGGAATACCGATGTAGGGAAAAAGCCTTCGATCAATGGCAGCTTCAGTGGGCCCTGTTCTTCTGATGATTCAATTTCATTATCACATACCCCCCTGGATCCAAAAATGGCAAGGCCAACGCCCTGCCCCAAAGACACAATATCAACTCATGAGGCCTCAGCCAGGAACAACCCGCATTCTCCAATCCCATAACTTTCTCAGTGCCATTCGTCACCAGAATTTCTCAGATTGATACACTCAGCCTCAGGAATTCCACCTGATGAGCAAGCTATTATCCACAAGCAACCACATGACTCCCAGGAAGGGATCACATACGTGATCTCTGTTCCCCCTGGACCCACAAGAGTTGCAGTCTTGCATCTATGCCATGATTTTCCCCTAGCAGGATACTTGGAGTGCTTCAAGACCCAATGAATAATATCCTGCTCCTTTTGGTGGCCCGGGATGTGACCAATGATGCAGTCATTCATTGTCTCCTGTGATGTTTGTGCCTGTACCAGGACACCACGCCACAAGTCCTGTGGTCTCCTCCAGCCCTTGGACACCCCATCTTGACCCGGGGGCCATCACATAGACCTTAGTGTAGAATTACCAGCGTCCAACAAATTTACAACAGTTTTGATGGTAGCAGACCACTGTACAAAATGGCCTACTTCATCGCTTGCACAGGCCTCCCCTCAGCTGAAGAGACAGCCCTGCTATGGATTAGCCATACAGAGCAGCTCCACGGCCTTCCAGAATGCATCACCTCCAAGCGAGGGTCTCAGTTCACAGCCTGGTTCTGCTGGGGGTCCGCACATGTCTTTCCTCTGGTGGCCATCCCCAGTCCAAAAGCCAGACGGAGAGGGCCAACCAAATTCTTGAGCAGTATCTGCAATGCTACATCAGTCATCACCAGGATAATTTCCCTTTTACACACAGTTTGCCTACCCATCATCGCAGACCATACATCTACAGGTCAAAGCCCCTTTTTTACCACCTATGGGCACCACCCCTGATTCACCTGCAATTATCCACGTTCTTTCCCAATCTGGCCGCCTCAGACACAGTGCAGCAGGTTTGTCTGGCCCAGGAAGAAGTGAATAAGCGCCAGGAAAAAGCAAGAGCAGACTATAAGTGGCATGCAGCCAAGCATCAACAGCGAGGTCCCACCTACTCTGTGGGACAAAAGGTATGACTCTCTACGGAGCATCTCCATACCAACAGACCCACTCACAGCTGGACTTTCCATTCTTGGCTCTTTGAAGATCCTGCAACAGGTTAATCCAGTCAGGTTTGAACTTCAGCGATCCCGCTCTCTGAAGATACACCCAATATTTCACATATCGCTTTTGAAGCCCTACACAAAAAACCTTTTCCCTCACATGACCCAACCGCCTCTTCCTCCAGTACAGGTACAGGGCCATGAGGGGTACGTGGTTCGCAATATCCTGGACCCTAAACATAACTGTGGCAGGCTTTGGTATCTTATTGACTGGGAGGGGTACGGTCCTACGGAGCAC